TCTCTAAGATTCTCTAGGAATTCACCGTGTTTCTCTAGGAATTTGCCGTGTTTCTCTAGGAATTCACTGTGTTTCGATAAGAATACATCGTATTTTGCCGTGCTTCCCAAAAGGAATTCGCGAGCCTACCTTAAGCTAGGGTCGAACTAATATTGTCTATAATAAATTAAAGGCGTTGTAATATAGTAATGCTCCCGGGAAACGTGTACATGTATAATGTACAGGCAGGTTTGAATAACAAATGAGTATGGTAATCTCGGGAAGACATTTACCGGCATTCTGTATCGGTTAGGATTTTTTCTCCAACGCACTTTATACATACATAAACGCCGACCAAAATGTATGCAAACTATGAACTTACAATTTTTTAAACATATCAATTCATCTTCGTTTATAACTTAGATGTAATCCGTCAATTTGGGGCTGCTATCAAATCCAAACTTTAAATTATATACGATGAGCTTTTACACATTACTTCATTACTCGCAGCTTCGGTTAATCTAAATCAATCATCCATACAGCACGTACAGTAAATCACTCCGCGGGTCGCTTAACGGTATCTTACGTGGTCAGAAACGCGCCAAAAGATTGGGACTACATGTATATTCTTACGCTGTTTTACTCGGCGAATAATATTCGCTGTGACAATATACATCTACTTTATGTCACCCAATTCATTTCGGTGGGAGCAGATATTGAATAAAGCCATTTCACACACACATACAATGTATACGTGTACATTACATGCGCCTCATATATTTATACAATATCCACGAGTGTGTTAATTCTCGTCTTCACACCGTTATAATTTACTTATTTTGAGTACACTTTCTGAATGATTCCATTCTTTTGTACGTCCAACTTGTCGATTTCCTACTGCATATACATGTACCCTTCAGTCCATGCGAAATGATATTTTTTTTACTGGACATTTGGGCAGGTATTATTTCAACTATTGCTGGACCGAATGAGATTTTACTGGTCCAAAAAAGTTCATACCAAAAATATGCATAAAATAAGTAATAGTGGCCTAAAACTCGAAAAACAACAAACAGTATTTTCATTCTATTGTTACTTAATATTATCTATGATACACGTAAATAATTATTATTTTCTATCAACAATAGCTTGGACTTATAATTAAATTTTTATCGCGCCAATATTTACAATCGTTTTACTTTTCTATAAATAGACCGCGTAAAGAAAATATAATCCCTTAGATGACAATCGAGTCTACCAGAAGCCAATGAAAAGGACTTTCGTTTTAGTCTGGATTAACCTAGCCTACTACTTACTAGACTAGCTCGATATACGGTACTACGTACTCGAGATAATATTTTGTTTACATTTTAAACAATAGTGAAATTAACACAATAAATTAAACGAGAATTCAACAGTCCGTGCACGAAGTGCCGTCAGTCAATGCCAATACGGCGATGATTTAATATTTGTAAGTTGAGTGTCCGTTAACCCGTCCACAAGCAAACCCGTCCACGGTTAAGGTAATACCGGTACTTGACTTGTATATTATTTAATTGATTAGAATAGATCACTTTTACTCATTGGTTGTTTATATTGTTTTATTTACCTAATAATCAACTAGCTTGGCTCGCCATCCCGACAGCGATTAGTTCGAGTTCAAATTCTTTATTCCTTTAAGCCAAAGACTCATCAGGTATAACATATAGTACAAACAAATAAATAAATACAATATGTACAAAAACAATATAGTTCACCGATGTTTTTATAATAAAGAACAATAGTATTGTTTGTTGATTAGCGTTATGATTTTAGACAAAATGGTAAGTTCACCAATGTTTTTGTAATAAAGTATTGTTTGTTAATTGACTTTATCCCATGATTATGTCTGATTTGAAAGCGCTTTCGACTCCCGTTGCAAGTTCTATTTGTCACTTTTGTGACTTTCGCAGTGTACCCCCTCCCACCCATATTGTTTTAATACGTCATAATACATTATTATCATATACCGGTGACAGTCAAGATTTGCTAAATACTTTTCGCCCAGTAACACAGCGTAAGAATATATAGTCCCCGTGTCGAACCCAACATCTCATGTTTTCGCGCGTTTCTGACCACGTGACGTATGGTTAACCGCATTGTGGAGTGATTTACATGTATGGCACTGTGATTTATGAATGGTTGATTTAGATTAACTGAAGCTGCGAGTAACGAAGTTATGTGTAAAATCTCATCAAATATAATTTAAAGTTTGGATTTGATAGCAGCCAATAAGATGAAATGATACGTTTAAAAAATTGTAAGTTATTCATTGTTTGCATACACGTACATTGTGGCACCACGTTATACATGTACAGTGTGTTAGAAATACGACCGTAGCTGCCTCGCCAACGGTTAACATATCTTGTATTCAACTTAAATTAATAAATAAATTATATTTTTCGTCAACATGCTTACATCAGGATGATATCGGCACTCAAGCGATTCACTGTGTTTCACCGCGAAACACCATAATTCACCGCGAAACACCCTATTTCGCGGTGATTTGGCTAGCTGCCGTTTCGCTAGCGATTCTCCAAGATTCCACCGTGAAATAGAGTGTTTTTCCGCGGTGTTCGGCGATTATAGTCCCAAACTCCTGCACTGTAGTGTACAAGTCTTTAAAAAAAAAATGGATATCAATTATTAGTGTTAATTCATAATTAACCAGGGTGTACCAATCAAGTTAATAGTGACCTTATAACTTGACCTCATTGAGGACATTGTCTACGGAAACAGTTTTACTGTGTATAATTACTTATATATTAATAATTCACAGATATCACATCATAAACAAGCCATTTTTATACATGGACATTGAAATGTGGTCATACATGTATCTACTGTCTGTCCGTCCGTCCGTCCATCCATCTCAGGCTGACCTTAAAAATATCTTTGTTTCACCAAACCCGACCCACAATCGAGGAGAAGGGTCGGTAGGTCGGGGGTTTTTTTCAGATTTTTTTTAAGAGCTAATTTGACAGCTTGATAATTTTCCAGGTGCAAACATTCGTCTTCTTTTATTGTCAAACAAATCAATGACATCGGGATTTTTCGTGATACACGACTAGCACACGAATTGCCAGAAACTGACGTTTGAAACTCCCTCAACACGTTTTTTAACGATCGTGCGGGTTGTGCCTTCATTTTTCTCGAAAACGGATATTCAATATCCGTTTTCGAGAAAAATAGAGGCAGAATCATTTCGTGGGAATGGACGTGCTTTCGTCTACAACCATTTTGTTGAGAAGCGACACCTATGATGCTTTCGTCTTGATCAACCATAGCCATAGTAAATTGAAATAACTCTCGTGATATATTTCAGGTTGACACACAAAATAAAATAAAAAGATCGCGGAAAAGTGCAATAAAATAATTTAAGTCGGGGGTGGTTTTAGTTAGTCGGTCGCGTTAGGCGAAACAAAGATATTTTTAAGGTCAGCCTCACCTACTGGTTGTGCATGCTAATACAAATGTATACAATTGTATGATAAAGTTATTATCCGATTGACACAATATTTATACATACTGTTTATGTGCATGCAGTGAAGAAGCCTGTTAATTTTCAACTGCCAGAGCTATGGCCCTTGTTCAATTTGAACCAGCGGCTGCCAGGCAGAATACGCCCACATTTTCGAGAGATGGATAGAAAACAAGCTAAAAAGAAAGTGATTTTTCCTACAATCAAGGGCCATAATTCAGGAAATTACAATTCAATATGCGCAAATATCGAAAGGAACCGAAGTCTTTGGGTTATAAACTTACATTTCAAGTTTCAACAAAATCAGATAAAAATTGTGACCTCTATAGGGTCTACAACCTTGATATACCATATTTTTACGCTATTTGAGAATGAAGGGGCGGCCATTTTGTCTGTCAGTTTTGGGCCGATTTTCACAAAATTCGAACTCAGCCATCCTTAGGGTGTAACGGTGATATAATAATACGTTGTTTTTAAATCGGATAAAAAATATGACTTCTATAGGGTCGACAAGCTAAAAACGTGATTTTTCGTACAATCAGGGGCCATAATTCTGGAAGTTACGGTCCGATATGCGCGAATATCGAAAGGAACCGAGATCTTTGGATTATAAATTTACATTTAAAGTTTTAACAAGATCAGATAAAAATTGTGACCTCTATAGGGTCCACTAGCTAAAAACGTGATTTTTCGTACAATCAGGGGCCATAATCCATGAATTTTCGATCCGATACATGCCAATAACGAAAGCAGCTGAGATCTTTTGAGGATAAACCTATATTTCAAGTTTCGTAAAAATAGGATAAGAATTGTGACCTGTAGAGAGTCCACAAACAATTGTGGATGGTCCACTACTCTAGTACTATGGCTGGAGCACGACGGAAGACATCAGTAGTGGAACCATTTCTAGTAAAATCAAGGCTTCAACAGGCATTGCATTCCTGTTCTTTTTTTTATTATATATATATTGTCTAGTTCTGTGTGGTGTACATGCATATAATTATATATATATATATATACAATTAGAAGGTCAGATTCCTGTGATTGATCACTGCCACAATACTTATAATGTTAATTTCATTTTCATAAATGAATAAGCAAAGAATCACTTCAAAACATAGATTTGCATAGAATAGAGAACTAATTGGATAGAGAGATAAGTCAAGTGTCTAACGAATAGCATCTGCTCTATTCCGTTTTTGACTGAATGATGGAATTCTGTGTTGAAGTTGAAGAAGAAAGAGGGGAAGGTTGGTATTGACATTTCAGACAACAAAAATGAACATTTCATCGACAAAAGAGCCAAGTTTTCAAATCTAAAAATAAACCTCGATGGTTTAATAATATTTGCTAGAGTTGAAGAAATGAAGCCATTGAGTGTCTTCATATTTTGGAACGGTACAACTGTCGACTGTGTGAGAGTGTGTGGTAGGCCTACTCAAATTTAAGCAACATAATTTTGGGAAACGGGTAAAAGAAAGAATAGAATGGAGATACTGACCTGCTGCAATAGTGTCTGCTAAATCATATTTCGGACTTTTACGCGGGTAGTCCTTTAATTTCCTTCCACTCAAATTTATCTCGCCCGTCGTTTGTGCCTCTTCGAAAACACGTTCGACAGGCCTGCCGATTACAGGGGGGCTGGAACCGCCCGACCCGTAAGTGGCAGCCATTGTACCAATATTTAGTTCTCCCAGAATTACTGAAGTGCGCATGATCAAGAGGAAATGACTTCAAGCACGAGCCCGGAGCCTATCCTGTTAACTTACATTACTACAAGTAAAATTACATGTATCTATGAATCACTTCGATGAATTACCACCGGCTTAAAGTAGGGGTTAAGTCTGTAACTCAATATCATCCAAAATCTTCGACATTGAAAACACGATTTATTTGTCGGTTTAAATCAACATTCATGTTGTCATCTTACCGGGAAAAGATGGCCTTCTGATAGTGATATCCAATAAAAAAAAAAAGGAGCACGAATCGTGTACCATAATACTACGTTTCAGCGCTATTTGTAATAAGGGACTCGAAAAACGAGGCTAGGCATATTCCACAAGTCATGTCAAATGGTGACGCTATATTCTTATCTGGAGAGCATGCCCAATAAATACTATCGGCGTAGGAAGGAATAACCAGTCGCTAGAGATTGAAATTCGATTTCGCCGAACCTAACTGATTAGAAATTAGATCAACAGTAAAAACAGAAACAGTTGAATGAAAATCAATTTATATACATTCATATTACCGGTACATTATTGTATGCATTGCGACCCATTTGTGTCAATTCTAGGTCTCAAATATTAGCGACTTAGCTCCTTTAAAGTCAGTGTATCAAATTGCATGTTGCTTTTTTTTTTTGCTTTTTTGGGGGAAATTTTGCAGTTGGATTTTATCAAATTTATTACGAATCAATTTGAGATGAGAAATGAAATGCAATGAATTGGGGTTTAACGTCCTACTGTTTTGCTGGGTTATGGACACAACGGCCAAAAGCAAAAACGGCCAAAACATATTTGGTCATAACGGCCAAATATAATTTGGTCATAACGGCCAAACATTATTTGGTCATAGCGGCCAAAAAGATTTTGGTCACAACTCCCATATTTTCTCCTACATGTACCTGCCCTTCATAGCCAAATAAGTGGGTTGGATGGCCGAATGGTTAGCACATGCGTGCTGTATCATAAGACCTGTCATTGCGTCAACTGGCGTGGTTTCGAATCCCCGGTTGTACGTGACAAAGAGTAGGGTCGCTTGTCCAGCCTCGTGGGTTTTCTCCGGGTCCTCCGGTTTCCTCCCACTGCTAAAGACCTGTAATGACCTAGTTTGTGTCGGGGGTGGTGGATGGCTGAATGGTTAGCGCGCGCTGTATCATAAAGTCTGTCATTGAGTCGACTGGCGTGGTTTCGAACCCCCGGTTGTACGTGACAAGGAGTAGGGTCGCCTGTCCAACCTCGTGGGTTTTCTACGGGTCCTCCGGTTTCCTCCCACTGCTAAAGACCCCTACGCACACGCGAATTATGTAAATAAAATTAAACCATATTTTAGTCCCGAAATGGCCTAGTTTGTGTCGAGTGGACGTTAAACCCCATTTCTCTCTCTCTCTCTCCCTAGTTTGTGTCCAGTGGACAAAAACCCCATTTCTCTCTCTCTCTCTCTCTCTCTCTCATAGCCAAATAAAACATCCTTTATAACTTTTTCAAATTTGCAATTTATAAAGACACCTCTGTTTTGAATTTCTTTTGTCTTAGTAATCCGTCCAACTATAGAGGAATTTCTATAACAGGTAATTTGGGTAAACTTTTTAATGCGGTACTAAATAACAGATTGAATAAATTTCTGTGTACTAACAACATCATACCAAATTGGCTTTTCTAAAAATCATCAAACTTCAGATCATATGTTCATTTTGAAAACTTTGACAGGCAAATACTGTCAATCAAAGGGGGGAAAATGTTTCCGTGTTATATTGACTTCAGACAAGCATTTGACATGGTAATTCATGTTGGACTTTATAAAAAAATTCTTGAAATTGGAGTTGGTTCAAATTTTTACTTTTTGATTGAAAATATGTATCAGAAAAGTAAGTCGGCTATCAAAATCCAGGACAAGCTCACAGATTCTTTCTCATTGGACCTCGGAGTTAGACAAGGCGATAATTTAAGCCCTAACCTTTTTATACGCCCACATTTTCATGTGGACATATATTGTCGTCGCGTCTGTCCACAATTGTTTGTGGACACTCTACAGGTCACAATTCTTATCTGATTTTGACAAAACTTAAAATATAGGTTTATCTCCAAAAGATCTCGGCTGCTTTCGATATTGGCATGTATCGGATTGAAACTTCATGGATTATGGCCCCTGTTTGTATATATCTCTTTAATTATCAAATTCAAAACTTACTTATTGTGCGTAATGTGAGTTTACTTCGAAATCGAAGTAGTAACCTCAAGGGCGCAAGTAGAGGTTAAGCTCAAAATCGCATATAGGCCTATTAATTAATTGGTGGGGGAGGGTTGGATGGCTGAATGGTTAGCGCGTGCGCGTTGTATAATAAAGTCTGCGCATTGTATCATTTAAGGTCTGTCATTGAGTCAACTGGCGTTTCGATTCCTAGTCCGATTCGGTTTGTTACATAATTCCCATCCATCGGCTTTTTGGGTAGAAATCGTGGAATAAGCTTTATTTTGAAGGTTTTGATGTTTAATGACAAAAAACCAATGTTGCCATTTTTTCTGAGTAGGTCTTCTAATATGGGTTTCAGACCATTATTTGAGGGTAGCCATTTTGCGATAATAATCCAACTTATTTTTTTTATTTTCACCTTATTTATAATGTTATCGACATATTAGCTGTGATTTGGCAATGTATTAATATTGGCAGGGGTCGTGACTATATTTCAGATAGTTTTCATCACATCATGAAGATATTTCCAAAATGGTGACCATTTTTGGCGGGAAAATGTGCTGATTTTGATTAAGTAGTAGTGTTTGGTGTCAATATATATGTTTTCGGGGGCGCAGATTCCATTTCTAACGGTTACAACTGTCTAAAATGATCACATGTTCACCTATTTTGCTGATATTGATTAAGTAGTCGTCTTTGGTTTTCAACGGCACAGATTCTATTTCTGCCATTTACAACTGTGTAAAATGATCACAATTTCACCTATTTTGCCTATTTTAAAGGTGGTCACAATTTTTGGCGGGAAAATGGAATGATGTGCTGATATTGATTAAGTAGTCGGCTATGGTAACAGGATATAGGTTTTCGGGGCGGAGATTCCATCTCTATCGGTTAGAATTGTGTAAAATGATCACATGTTCACATATTTTGCATGTTTCCATGATTGCGGCTATTTTTGGCAGCAAAATGGAATGATGTGCTAATATTGATTCCATTTCTGCCGTTTACAATTGTGTAAAATAATTACATGTTAACATATTTAGAATATGTCTGCCATTTGTGGCGGGACGTTTCCTAAACACATTACTGAAAAGGTTTCTGAATCCGATTTTGCTATGTATAAGCGTGTAGCATGTTCCTGGAAGCAGTGGTGTGTTTTGCCCAGAGGTCGCAGTCACGCTAAAATCAGCGCTTTTCACACATTTTTTTTCAAAATAAACGCAAATATTGACAGACGCTGCGTAATTTATTATCCGATTGACTTTAAATTTATACACAGTGTTTGAGGTCATGAGATGAAGAATCATATTGATTTTCAACGATTTCGGATAATTACTGCCAGAGTTATGGCCCTTGATCACTTTGAAAAATCTTGTGACACTCTAGAGGCTAAAATTATCATACGATTGACTTCAGATTGGTACACAGAGCTTAAGGTCTTGAGACGAACAAGTATATTGATTTTCAATGAATCTTTATGACTTGAACAGCTAAATCCATGATGTTAAAACTTTTGTATACTAAACATTAGCATGGGACAGAACTTTATAAAAACCAAACAAATTCTAATAGTTTTCTTATAATTACTGACGGAGTTGTTACTCTTAATCAGATTTTAATGTATTATAAATGTTTCATTACCGAAAAAATTAAAAATATGCGACAACTCTTGTTGACTGCCCGGACGATATAGCTGCTGTGGGCGTATGTTTCGTTGCCTGGCAACCTATCTTTTTTTTTCTTTCTTATTTTCTCACTGTTTTTTATTGCATATTTATCCCCAGCTTTCTATCATTTCAGGTGCCAGGGTAATGTTTCATAGAGTGGAATGATTGACCTCAACACAAGTATTAAAATAAAAAAAGCAAAACAGGTGAGATAAATGTGCATTTCATACACTTGATGAATTACATCCAACCTGATCCCCACATCTGCTCACTAACGGGCTGGAAATTTGGTACTGCACAGGCCTTTCTTCTCCCCTTGCATGTAACTGAATGACAGAATTCCACATTTTGACCATTTTCTGGATGTCAATGACCCGTTTCCCTGGATAGTATTCGCCCCAGAATTCTCATTCTCTTCCAAATTTAACATTTCAGGTCTACATCTCAAAACCCGATGACTTCCTGGACTGGCTTTAGTAGAACGATGACGCATATCAATTTCATCCCTGATCTCTATGACACCTGCGGTTGAAGTGGAGGGCAAATAGTAATCAGTTTGGGTTCCAGCCGAGGACCTCTGTAAACTTTGCTTTTTGGTGATGAATTTGTTTCTGAGCTTGACAAGGACACCCTTGTGTTTATCATGGCCTCTCATATTGGAAGATAACATAAAGGGCTTGTGTGTTGACGGTTGTGTATATCTCTTGGTCAGGAAAGTTTATGCACCATCGCCATTGTAAATCATTTGACAGGCCAGAGTGAACAGGGAGATCTTTGATTGGTCAGAAATGTGTCAGACTCCATACTGGGGGGTGTTGATGAAAAAACTGTTGTAGTGTTACATAATCAGATTATTTCAAGTTACTTATCCTGTGGAAATACAGCTATATAGGAGATATTTTAAAATTGATAGGCACTGCATCTTTCAACATCTTAGATTTGACCACAATTTGGCACTTGAAACTACGTTAACAGAGAAAAACTGTGTATATTGAATTTATATTTATATTGAATTTATCTCATCTTTTTACAGAATGCATTTATGTTCAAAAATAAAAATGTTGTGTGAAATTCAAAATTCATGTGCTTTTAAATTTCTGTCTGAGATTCCGCAGTTTTCTGATGTATTATAGTGTTTGCAGAATGCCGCACTGCTCATCTGAAAATGCATGGATTTTTATAATCTTTGGCCAGGGCATTGCATATGTTTGTTTATTAGATAACAACAGATTTGTTCAGACAGCAGCAACATGTGAGGTATATAGGACTCAGGCTAGTAATTATTTCATGATGGACGAATGTAGTGCAAGTTATAAATAGACAATTTCTTCCTTAATTTTTTTCTCCCCTCTTCCAGCATTTTTTGGTTGACTTTTTGGTCTAGAATTGGAGAAAAGGGATCAAATTTGCAATTTCATAGCAGTTTTGGGCAATACTGATGATATTAGAGCGGAGGGATAGGGGGTGTAAAGTGTCTTTCTGCAGAGCAATCATTGTGTGGAAGTAAGATTTTTACCCCAGTCAACTTCAAATCCCCGTAGCAAAAAATCTAAACGGTCAACCCCCTACAAAATTATGATGAGGAGATTGCCAAATGTGGTCCCCATTGTGCCTATAAAGATTGGAACCAACAGAATGTGTGCTTACTGATTAATGGGAGATAACTACTGTTAAATCAGACCACATTAACTATATGTTACACCCCCCTTTTTGAGTATAAAATAAAGGATAATAATGATAATATACGAAACACACAGTGAAGCAATATGAACACAATCTTTGAATGGACATAGTATTTTAGGTAATCTTTCAGGTTTCTTAACTAGATTATTTAAGTTATTGTTAGTAACACATTTTGATCGATTTAAGTGTCTCTGGTTATCTGGTGCCACACGCGCAACTGCAGATCTATCTGGTTGCTGTTGCCGTACTGCAGGACATAGAGTTGGTGATGGCAGGTGTTGATTATGGTTTAATAGATTGTCTTTAAAACGAACTTGTTTAGTTGACGTTGAATTAGGTAGTCTCGTAGATGAATTATGTTACTCCTGAAGATCCTTCCATCGGATGTTTCAACCATGTATGATCTGGGTTCTTGACACTTCGATATGATGAACTGTGCAGGTTCCCACTTGAAGGTTTTGTAATTTTGCACTGGTACTTGTTGACCTTGTATGAGTGGATGTAAATCTTTACAGGATCTATCGTGGTATTCTTTTTGAGTTTGCTTCATTGTTTATAATTGTTCTAGGATAGTTTCGTTGGAACGATTAGGTTGTTGTCGGCATGGTACATTGAAGTTAGTTTGCAGTTTCCTCCCCATCAAAATTTCACCTGGTGACGGTATATTCTGAGTATGTGGGGTTGAACGTAGATTAAGGAGAGCAAGTTGTGGATCAGAGTTTGCTTGTTTGGCTTTATGCAAAGTCATTTTCACAGTGCGGATCTGACGTTCGACAAAACTATTTGATCGACTGTGATGGGGTGATGATGTGATGTGGTTGAGTGAGCAGAATCGCGGAATACTGCAGAAGAGTATTGTGGACCATTATCACTTTTATCACTCGTGTTGGTATGCCATGTTTTCTGGATATCTGTTTCAGCTGATTAATGACAGCACCCTAGTATACTGTTGAGGGAGTTTACGGACGAAGAAGTATTTGCTAAAGTAATCAGCTACAATTAAGTACTCGTTTTGGTCAAAGTAGAATAAGTATGTACCGACTACTTCCCATGGTTGACTACGTACTTCATGATGTAGTAAGCTTTCATTAGTTTGAGCTAGTTGATTATGTTGGCATATCTTAAGCCTTTGACTAGTTTTGCAATATCATCATTAACACCATACCAATAGACTGTGTTTTGAGCAATCATTTTTTTTTTTTTTCAATACCTTGATGACTGTAATATCATCTTTCATGGCATCAGGAATCAAAATTCGTTGCCCTTTCATAATGATACCGTTATGTACTACGAGTTCATCACGAATTGACCAGTAGCTGCGTAGTCTGGCAGGTAGTTGTTTGAGAGTATCGGCCATCCCTGGTGAATGTAGTCTTGTAATGCGTTCAGGACTGCTGGATCATATCGAGTTGTGTCTTGTAATAGCTTAATACAATCAGTTTCGAATTGTATGAAATTAATTCGAACATTCAATTTTATGGAATCATTATTAGGGTGACCCGTGCACTCTACAGAACGTTGGTCTCGACACGGCTAAATGTGCACGCTTCAGTTGCGTGTCTCGAACTGATTTCTGACTACCCCGCACTTTTTTTGAGTCGATAAATAGCCATGGCACATGCAATTCTCTACAAATATATCAACAATTACAGCCGTAAAAAATCTATTGTTGACGATTTTGAATAGCAGTAAAATTTAGCTTCTTGGTTATTACAGCAGCTTTAGAAATTACGTTTGTTTTATTTTTTAAATTGCTTTATCATTAACTGTACCGTTAAGAGCGGCTTCTTTTGGTTTAGTACAAATACTATCTCTGAATCACTTTCTTTAGCAGGAACATGATACTAGCAGTAGTTTTATTTTACATTTACAAGTTTCTTAAAACAATTGTTGAGTTGTCTAAAGTGCTTATTTCTAAATTCAATTTCTTGTTCTAGCTTTCTGTTATGTTTCGTAAAAAAGTAGTCTTGATTATCCTGACCTGTCAATCAGACGTAGAATGGTCGATAGACTGGTTAAGCGAGACTAATTTCAAAACAAGGGCACGTAACCTATCTTTTACTCAAAAGTGTCTGGATGTTATGGACGACACTTGGAACCAGTTTTCAGTCTATTATTTATAGATGATTAATGGTCATAGCTTATTAAGTACAACATGTTCGTTTATTTATTGACTATAATTGTGTGAAACTGATTTGAGGCTTGGCATATATATAAATATTGTGGCGTAATTGTCGAGATATTTGGAGATATTTATTTATGGTGGGTCACCCTATCATTATTCTGTAGATTTGGTTATCTAGATAGAGCGTCGGCTAACAGCATGCCTTTTCCAGGGCAGTAGTCTATATAGAAGTTGTATCCTTGTAGTTTTAAGATCATTCACTGAAGTCTAGGTGGTGCAGTGGTTAGACATTTATGTAGTATGCTGACCAAAGGTCTGTAATCACACGGAAATGACGACCATATAAGAAAGTGTGGAATCTCTGGACACCAAACACAATAGCGAGTAGCTCTCGTTCAATACAAGCAAATCTGATCTCTACGTCAGATAGTGCCTTGGATGCGAATGCAACAGGTTTGCTGTTATGTAGTAGTGATACTCTTAGCCCTCTTAGACTGGCGTAATTGATGTGTCGAGGTACTGTAAGGTTGAATCATCAGATACTACAGTCTAGCTCTTGAAAACAACACTCATGATGATCTTCCCACAGGAAACCGGCATCCTTCTTCAGAAGATCTCTCAATATGGATGACATGGCAGAAAGATTTGGTATAAAAAGGCCACATATAGGTGATAAACCTTAGGAATTCTTGATGTTTTTTCTTGCTTGTAGGCAAGGTCATCTGTTTTAGATCATTTATCTTTATAGCATCAGGCAAACTCCTTATCAGTGTATGTCATCCCAAAGAAGGACATAATTTTCTCCTTAATGAAACATTTGGTTGAATTAAAAACATTAAAAATCATTCTGTGCAGCAACTGACATTAATTGATGGAGAATTTTGTTGTGTTGTTCCTCAGTCTTAGCAGAAATAGCGACTTCATCAGCAATTGCAACAACTCCATCGACTTGATCCAGAATCTGGTCGATCTTCATTTGGAAAATGTCCTGTGAGACAGACAGTCCAAGGGGTAGTCTCTGGAAACAGTATCTTCCAAATGGTGTTTGGAAAGTTGTGAGAGGTTGTGATGTTTCATCAAGTTGCACAGCCCAATAGCCCATTTTTGCATCCAACTTTGAAAACCACGAATTTCCATCAAAATGATGAGTTACCTCTTCAAGTGTAGGTATTCTATAATGAGGTAGACGCAGGGCTTGATTTAAGTGTCGTGCATCAAGGCATACTCGAAGTGAACCATCTTTCTTAATTGAGTAAGCTAAGCTCGATACCCATGCTGTAAGCTCTGTAATACGACGAATGACTCCAAGATTTTCCATGTGATCTAACTCAGACTTTATCTGGTCACATAGAGTGATGGGCGTTTTACGCAGAGCATCGACATGAGGTGTAGCATCAGAGTCTACTTTCAAGGTAATTTTACCCGGGAAACATTCAATCTTGTCAAAAGGATCTGGATATTGTGCACGTAGTTATACCACAGTGGAGTGTGATCAGCTTTAATGCTTTACAAGATGCCGAAGATGGTAAGCCTAGTATTGCTGGGACGTCTACATCAACAATATAGAAAGGTGTTTTGAAATATTCTGCTGTATGAGATTTACATTGTAGGTTTATAGTACCATAACATTTGATCTCTGTTTCATTATAAGCTGTTAGTCTTGTGTCTACTGTAGGGGAACGAACAGCCTCAACAGGAAAACCATCTGGGGTGAGCAGTGCTGGGTACATGCGACGAAAGATTCTGAGCGGCAATGTGTTAATCCTGGACTCCAGAGTCGACTTTCAAGTGTAGACTGTGTACGCCTGGTCTGTTTGTCAGCTGTATTTTCATTTCAGCATAAGCTTCATCATCCGCTTCAGGTTGACTCAGACACATGCTTGAAACTGTGACTGAATGGAAGGTGAGGGAGTTAAAGTCATCAACCATGGAGTTGTGATCATAGGAAATCTGATCGACATTACGATTATGAGAACTGTGTGACCTTTGTCGTTGAGAACGTCTTGTTCGTGATAGTCCTCTTGAAGAATGTCTAATAGGAGCATTCTGTGACGATAATCGGCATACATTTGACCAATGGTTGTTCTTCCTACATGTTGTGCATTTGGTACCATAGGCTGGACATGCTTGTCCTCGTCATTTTGAATGATGTGTACCACAGCTATTACATGCTGGATGTGAATACTTCTGTAGATAGTCTACTGATGGTGTTGCGCTGATGGTTTTAATCCCCTTTATGTGTGACTCCGCAGCTTCAT